GAATAGAATAGAATAGAATAGAATAGAATAGAATAGCCTTTATTGTCCCGCCGAGGGGAAATTCAGGTGTCACAGCAGCATCCAGAGGTTCAAACACTAGTTACTTTACAAACAATAAACAGTACACAAAAAAACAAAATTAACACTGACTAGCYATGATACAACTACTAATAATGAAAAATATACTATAAAGAATTGTGCAAGAATTTAAAAAAGATACGTTTTGTTTTAGAGACAGTAGACTATCAGAATCTGACATTAGGAATTGGAATTTGCCTATTTTTTAGTGCAAAATAATCTCAACAGACTATTAACTGTAAAGTGAAGTACCACAGTGCAGACAATAAACACAGATGTGCAATTACAGCAGAATTATTTTTAAAGTAAATGGGTAATAATAATACAATTCAATTCTATTTATTTATAGCACCAAGTCACAACATATTATTAACAGGAAGAAACCTCCAGCAGAACCAGGCTCAGGACAGGTGRCCATCTGTCTCGACCAGCTAGGTTGGGGGACAGGAAAGAGACACAGCCAAACACAGAAGAACTGGTCCAGGACTGGTCCAGGTTCACCTTCTTCTGGAAAAGAGACAAAAAGAAAAAACGTGAYAGAAACAATTACAATAAACGTAGAGAAGAGAGAGTAAAGACAACAGCAGAGTGGGGAAATATGCTCAGTTTGTGCTCCAGCAGTCTAAAGCTGAAAACATACTCCCTGCAAACTGCTGACGTCGGCATGGGTTGTCGCAGTTTAAAGACGAAAATTACGTCACCGGGCTTCGCAGCATCGTGTCGACAGCCCCTTTTGGCACAACCCGCTGGCAGAACTTTTGACCCCCCTCCCGTGTCGACGGTAATGTGTGATTTGTCTGAAGTTTGTGGGCATCTTTGTTTGTGCTGCGCTCACGGGGAAAAAAAAGAAAAAAGAACGACTCGCTCCCAGACTAGAAAGCAGAGTTTTATAATATATAGTCAAACCTTGAAAAACTTGTGGCTTGTTTGCTTGTGCTACTACACTCGTAAAAAAAATAAATTAATAAAAGAGGGGGAAAAAACCCGACTCGCTCCCAGACTAGAAAGCAGAGTT